ACAATTAAAGCAAGTGGCGTTCTTACTAGGTATTCTTAGAAAAGGATAAAACATAATACAGTAACTTTTTATGAAGTGCAATATATAAACTGTATATTGTATAATGCCTGAACAAGCACTTTAAAAGCATAATGCACTGTAAGTCACCATGTTAAAGACTTTGATGCATAGAACATTTATGAAAAGGGTGGAATACTATTGTGTATGTTTTCATTTTTAGCTATCACTACCATTTACTGTGTGTACATAAGGTATGTATTACATTACAGTACTGTTATTTACCTTTGAATTTTCTCTATGTGGATGTAAACGTGAAAAAGGCACATCATGTTCACAAGCTCCAGTATAATAACAGTTCAACAGTTCATTGAGCAGGATTTGAAAACAAGCGTTTGCCCAAATGTTCCACACACCACAATCAGCTTTCACTGCTTCACCTGGTGGTTTTACAAAATAGCACACTCACATAACTAAAAATTTCTAAAATGCTGTGGTCTACTGCAGTCTGTCACAGTCTCATGCAATCTAGCGCAGTGGCTGGACTGCAAACTACTGCAGCATCCCTCGTGCATTCTGAATGGCTGGATCTGTATGCAAATTACATTAAGGGTACAAACATACAAATTAGCTGTATAGTGTAATGTGTAGAACTACTGTATTTTATTCATTACCTCACCCCAATATTCTAACATCTCACTAACCCCCCAGAAAGTAGAATGATTAAAAATAGGATGCTTGCAAGGGGACAGACCAGTTGTTACTAGTTTCCCTGAAACCCTACTGTATAGCTGAAGTGCATGTCTGTTTTCATTGAAAGGTTCTGTTTTAAAATTATTTCAAACACAGAAAAACTGTTAAAGTGGAGAAGTACAAAAAACTCCACAAACTTAACACTCCTTCATACATCACTAAACGATCTGGTCTGCAATGTAATTTCATTTACTGTTGATGCACAGTGAATATTGTATTTAATAAACTAAATGACAGTGATACCATGTAATTAAAATTGAATTTCCTTGATGAAATACTCTAATCTATTTAGTAGTTACTGAATATGTTTGGTTATACAGTTTTTTATCCATGCTGTAGTGTTGACAAGAAATAGTGAACAAGTGGAGGAGCTTTATTTCTGAAATAGTCAGTTAATGCTTCACAGATGCAATCAGTATAAAAATTAACGGACACAGTCAACAGTATAAAGAAAGCGAAAGGTATGCGAGCATAAAGGACCAGAAGCAGTGTAAATTCGGCTTTGGTACGATATTCCTTTGAGCCTAAGAATGTATATGTTTTGTCTTCTCTCAACTGCTGTCAGAGCAGCAATATGCTTCTTGTATTTCGGTGACCAAAATTATGCACAGTATTCTAAGGAAGTTATTGCTTTTCTTTGTACAGTGTTAACTTAATACCCCTTGATTTTATGTCCACACTTTTAACTGTACAGCTTAATCTTCTGTTCACCTTATTTATTGCTTATTTGCATTTCTTAAAAGATGAAAATGATTTGTCTACAGCATATAAATACTGAACAGTTTCTCCGAAGAATCTTCTTAAAGATTATTGTTTCTGGTGGGAAACTGACATCTACAACCGATTTTCCAGAAGCTTTCGATAAAATTCTTAATGGGGCAGTGCGGTGGCTCTGTGATAAGGATCTGAACCTGTAGCTGGAAGGTTGGCGCTTCAAATCCTGTGGTCTTCAGAGGAATCCTAGTCCATTGGGCCCCTGAGCAAGGCCCTTAGCTCCCAACTACCCCAGGGGTGCTGTATAAATGGCTGACCCTGCGCTCTGACCCCAAGCTTATCTCCTTGTATGTATGTCTCATGGAGAGCAAGTTCGGGTATGTGAAAAGACAAATTCCTAATGGAAGAAATTGCATATGGCCAGTGAAGTGATCTTATCTTAATGAGGGAGGTCATGTGACCATAGTTCTTGCAGAGCTGCCTAATGCTGAAGCTCCTGCCACCAGCACCAATTTTATTCATTTTCTAGTTGTGTTATTTTCTTTTTGGTGCATTAACATCTCTGATATTCTTGGATGGTTAGGAATACAGAGAAACAGGACATGTATCCTATCTTTTTCAAGAAAGAAAATACTGAAAAGGTTTGGCTCTCCAGAATCGGCTACAATGGCTGATTTGCTGAAGCAGACCTTGGATCAACAAGCACAATTGGCAATGCAGTTGGCAGTTGAAAAGCTTAGTTGGCAACAGTGACCTTTCGGATTGTAGAAATGGTGGAGAACTTGGGCATTAAGACAGCAACTATTCACCAACATGTTTCTAGATAGGGTTTTGAGCCAAAACATGCCAGACAGACTTTTTTCTGTTTGTGGTTGTGTACTCGAAAAGCTCACCTGTGATACATGGCATGACATTTTCTATTAGCATGCTGTTATTTCCTTGTGCATTTCATGTTCTCCTATGATTTTAATTAGCAAAAGAAAAAGTAGCAGTTCCAGCTCTACCATATTAAGGTTAGCTTTGCTACTAATTAGCCTTGTTAAATCCTTAAATAGCTGAACTACAGTGTGAAATAACAACTGACTGTTCCTTTATGCTGAACACATAAACAGATGTTATACAGCATTATACAATCACAGCACACTCTGTAATAGTTGTATAGTTCCATTCACCAAATCAGGCAACTAATCTTGGACAAGTTCCTAGTCGAGAGACCAGTGGTAGAAGTGTAGAATAAAAATATTGTGAAAATATAGTGAAAATATCCTGTGTCCTCACAATCTGTTAACAATAACTTTTGTACTGTATGATAGACTGTTGACCACCTACAGTAAATCAATCATGTTAAGCAGTATCAATCCAACTCTAAAATATTTTTTAAATAAATACAGTATATACAGTACTATGTGCATTCTGTACTACCAAGAGCTGAATGTAAATTAGGAATAAATAGCTAGCTGTCATTGAAGGCAACCAAGTCATGAATATGGTAATTGCCAGAACTTAATCCACCTACTGTATTAAGGTCCCTAACTTTGGGCACAGTAGTAAGCATGTTGATCACTAAAGGCCTGACTGATCAAATTACAAATAATCACTTTCAAACTAGGGTTGCAAAATATGCACGTATGAAATAATATTATTTTCCTTATAATTCTTTTTATTTATTTTTATGTTTTTATTTTTTACCTATATCAGTTGCGCAAAAGAAATTCCTAGCCACTGCAATGGGGCAGTGCGATGGCTCTGTGGTTAAGGATCTGCACCTGTGACTGGAAGGTTGCCAGTTTGTATCCCGCGGCCGGCAGAGGAACCCTACTCCGTTGGGCCCCTGAGCAAGACCTTTAACCCCAACTGCTCCAGGGGTGCTGTACAAATGGCTGACCTTGCACTCTGACCCCAAGCTTCCCTCTCTGTCTGTGTGTCAAATGGAGAGTAAGTTGGGGTATGCAAAAAGACAAATTCCTAATACAAGAAATTGTATATGGACAATAAAGTGATCTCTCTCTCTTATAGCTTATACTAATACTTTTAAATTGTTGCATTTTAAAAGTTGAATGGCCCATTGAAACTAATCTTCACTTTTCTGAAAAGGATTTGACCTTAAATATTAATGTCAAACATTGTTCTTAATGCAGGCAAAACTGACATCACTAAAGGATAAGTCTACATCTGCTGAAACAGTTTCTTAAGCTTTTATTTTTTCAGTTTAATTAAAAAGTGAAATCTTAAATTCATCAGAATATTCTGTTGAAGATGTTTTATGGCTTTCAATTAATCCTACGTGTATAGGGGCGTGTCACTGATGTATCAGGTAGAAATATTATTGCTATATTCCAATTTGGAATCTCAGCTAAAAATGACTATCACTACACAAAATGAGGAAATGCAGATAGTCTCTATCAACCTGTTAACTTTATGAATCACTGAAATGTTGTCCATGCTTCAACCTTCACAACAATGTCCGGGAGGTTTAATGCCAATTGCACTGGAGCAACATCCCTTTCTGGTATCACCACAAACCTAAAGTAACCCGGGAAGCTACAGGGATTTATTTTTTCTGGAAGCCAAAAGATCCAATGTCAGTTAATCTAAATCTTCTGTCCATGGAGGTGCTGATCACCACTACATCCAGATATTAGGAGGAGCCCAGTCTATTGGCTAATGATGTAACACAGGCACAAATATCCAACAATTGGATCATAGAGCTTAACCTGCACATGTAGACAATATTTTTTACCTTTCTTTTGTGCTACTCAGTAGCATCATCTTGCCATATAAACAAGGAGTTCGAAATCCCCTATGTGGATTGAGCCAAGGTGCACACTGCCAGTACATTGATGGGGCTTGCGGGGGAATTCAAAATCCTGGAAGGAAAGAATTAATGTTTGAACTTTATTTATATAAGAGCTGGAGGTTACATCAGTGCCATTACTTAAAGGTTGTCTTATCTCTTTAACATTAATTTCTAAATGATCAATTTACCATCTTGTTTTCCACACAAGAAATATTTGCATCACCAGGACAAGAATGAGTATACAGAATTAACATCAGTTTTCAATAAAGCATGTTTTTTGTATGGTTGTTTTTTTTTTGTAGTTTATGTTCAGAGAGGAGGAGAAGAAAACACTTTTCAAGGACAACTAAATATCCCTTGGGTGATAGATTTGTTCAAATTAGGTTGTATAAGCACTTTGGAACAAAAATACAGAATCTTTTAAAATGGAACAAAATACACTAACTGATAAGATGAAAGGAAGCTGGAAATAAAAAGTAACAAAAGAGCTATGGGGCTTTCATCCTATGAGTTTTATTAAAAGCTTTTCATATGTTAGAAATAAGAGGTTTCAATAAGAATAAACCATTCAACACTTCTAACCCACTTGGTAGTAACTAATTAATTCAAGGATCTCTTTCTTAAAAGAAGTCGGGGTATGCTCTTGCTCCATGCTCCCACAAAGCTTTGCATAAAAGTGTCTCCTTTTCTTGGTTTTAAATGTTTCTGTATGTTCCACCATGTGTCCTCCTCTCTGCAGATCCCAGACTCCATCATATCCCGCGGTGTCCAAGTACTGCCCCGGGACACAGCCTCTCTTAGCACCACCCCCTCAGAGTCTCCTCGGGCCCAGGCCACTTCACGTCTCTCCACCGCCTCGTGCCCCACACCAAAAGTAAGTGCTCTGCCCTGCGGCTGCTTGTTGTGCTGTGACATTACATCATAACCGCACGACAGATGCTTCCAGCTTGTGAGGGTTTTGGAACGTGGAAGAATGCTGGGTGTCATCAGAGAAATTAATGAGTTACAAACAGCAGAGCTCAGATGCACTTCATTCTATACCAGTCACTAGTAGCAGAGGTCCTGGAGTTCAAGACTGGTACAATTCCAAAATTTGTGTCTGATGAACTTTGGCTTTGATGAACGGTCTCAGAAATAAGGACCTGGCCTCAACTATAAGGACCTTGTCTTTTTCTTAAATCACAATCACTGAGCTTTTTCTCACTGTATCACTGAGGGGTTTAAGTGGATTTTTTGTTTTATCTCAAATGTTCAATACATGAAGTCAACAGATAACTACCACTTTTTCTGTTTTTCAGAATACAACAATTCAATTTTGATTTTTATTAATTTTACAGTATAAATATATTTAAATTGACTTACAGTATAAGTAATTTTCAGTTTTCACTTTACATCATTAGAGAACTGAGATGCAATAAAAAGAACAGCTCAAATGGAGGAATTGGCATATGATTCTAATTCCTTTTCCTAAACTATTCTGAAGTGTGAATCAGGAAAAAAAATGATTTTTGGAAAATACGGTATGTTAGTGGTTATTTTTTATCGCCTCATCTACCATGATAACATCTTCATCCCATGTGTTTTATTTGAGTAACATTGCCTGTTATGTATTAGTAATAGTTCAGTCTCATGATCTCCTATATGCGCCTCAGACTAGCAACATCTTCTGCAGCTAAAATTCTAGACATCTTATTTTGTTGCTCTAAAAAGAGATTTTGAAAGAGATTTTGTGCAGTATTAATTGACAAAACATAAACACAGTTGCCCATATTATCCAGCAGGAGGTTTCTAGTATTTGTTCATAGATTCATTGATTTTTTACAAAGAAAAATAATTCACATTAATATATCTGCACACTGCCTTTATACAGTGCCTTGCGAAAGTATTCGGCCCCCTTGAACTTTTCAACCTTTTGCCACATTTCAGGCTTCAAACATAAAGATATAAATTTTTTAT